ATTAATTTTAGAATCAATCAATTCATCAGTCAACCATTGCATTGATTGATCGATTTCCAAAATAATCAACTATTTAATCAATCAATCAAAAATCTTCATGATTAATTATTGATCTGGTGTCCAGGTACTTTAAGAGGTTTGGATCCAGCTTAGAGTGTGGTTTCATGCCATGTAAAGAACTAAATTACAGGTCAGCCAATCAAAATATTATTTATAAAATAAATTATAATTATAAATAAATAAATTATAAAATATTATGCCTTTACTTTTAATTCTTAAGTCTATGAATTTTGGGACACTCCGCTTCCTTCTTTTTAATTTTTGGGACACATCGCCATCTTCTTTTCAATTTTCGGGACACATCGCTTCCTTCTTTTTAATTTTTGAGACATATCGCTTCCTTCTTTTTAATTTTTGAGACACATCGCTTCCTTCTTTTTAATTTTTGGGACACATTGCTTTCTTCTTTTTAATTTTTGACTTTTAGGGAGCATTTCCATTGTGCAGTGCCATTGTGCAAAGGTAAGGACTTTGCGAAAAAAGAGGAAATGATTCGGCACTCGAAGTGGCACCAGAAGATGGATGAGGCACTTAAGTATGGGTTCAGACGTGTCACTCCCCTGGATGATTGTAGTAACCAGTTTACAGGCAGATAAACAAACAAGCTTCACTCTCAAACATAATTAAATTTAAGAAATGTTTAGAAATTTTTTTTGAAAAGTTTTAAATTATTTGGTTATTTTGTCTATCTTATCCAGATTGTGGACATAACAAAAAGCAGACTCATTACCATTGCATACAGGTAGATTATATTAACATTTTTCACTTTTATGTACTTTTCTCCAATTATGTTTTCTCATTAATAATAATAATAACAAGTTTATATCCTGAAATGATATTTCTAGGCGGAAGGTTGTGACAAGGTTTACATATCAACATCAGATGTACAGATGCACTTTAATTATCATAGGTAAATAAACAAACAGACACAACACCAACAGACAAACAGATCTCAAGACATTTTTTGTTGCAAGTACAAGATATCAAATTGAAAATATTTAATTTGTTTATGTACTGGTTTCGACCCAACTTGGCATGATATGCTAGTGTACAACCTGATATTTGACCTGGCACTACCCAATCATCACTTACTATACCGTACAAGCCAAACAGTCTTGTATTGTGCTGTATTATACATGTGCCTTATATTTTAACCCGGCACAACCTTATAATCCTTGTGCATAATTAAATTAATTGTTAATTTTCTGTTGCTAAAGTTGTTTCAATAATGCTAGGCTAAAATCTGAATGATAATAATGAAAGGTATAAAAGTAATTGTTCCATTGATAATGGATCCTTTAGCCGGACAAATAATTGTCAGGTTTCCGCATAGACCTCAAGCAGCCTTTTTGCCATTATACATTTAATTATCTTCAGATCAGATTTCTTTGTTTTCCTTCGAGATTCTAATTCAAGTCTTATCTTCAAATGATCAGGGTTTATTTTATCATCAGGTTTAATAACAAAATCAAATGACACATTTTATTGCTCTGAATATTCAAATAAACATCAGTTAGACACACATATCTAGATCTTAAACAAATACAAAAAAAAATTTTTTTTTTTTTGTCTTAAAAATCTTTAAAAACTTTTTAAAAAATATACGAAAAAACTTTTTGTGAGTCAAAATTTTGTAGAAAATTCAAAATTTAATTCTTTTAATTATATAAATACATTATTCAGACATTATTCAGGTTTTAAAAAATACAAAAACAAAAAATTAAAATTTTTTTTCTACTCTAAGAATATAACTAAACATAAGTCAGACACACATATATCTTTAAAAAAAATTAAAAATTTAAGATTTGATATTTTAGGAAAGACAATGCAATTCAGAGGGAAGGTTTCCTTCGGTTTCGAGGAGCAGAGGACTGTCACACGTCCTACTGTTTATATAGAGGACAGAGGACAACACATTTCCACTGCAACAGGACGTCCTGCCAGTTTACTTTCAAGAACAAGGCAGACATGGGTAAAAAATATATTTTATTTTTATTTTCTGTTTTGTAGGATCTACCATGGCCCTCTTGCAGAATCCAAAAATGTTACCTTAAAATTTCTTATTAATGTAACTTTTAAAAATATATCAATGTCTGCAAAAAAAATCAACAGCAATAAAAAACTAAAATTGTTTTTGAGTTTCTGAAATTCCAAATATACTTGCTAAATTTGTATTCATTATTTCAGAGAAGCACAAGAACTACCACATGAAGGACGAACAGCTGAACAAGGACGGGTTCAAGAAGTTTATGAAGCATGAACCCTGTGGATTCAATACTTGTAAATTTTCCCGGACACACAACCACATTCACTGCATCCGGTATGATTTTGAAATATTTTTCCGGAAAATTGTAAACTTAAAATAAAGGACTATTTTCTATTGCAATAAAAGGACGCACTTATTTGGACGCACACTTACTGTTGGTAAATTATTTGGACGCACACGTACTGTTGGTAAATTATTTGGACGCACACGTACTGTTGGTAAATTATTTGGACGCACACGTACTGTTGGTAAATTATTTGGACGCACACGTACTGTTGGTAAATTATTTGGACGCACACGTACTGTTGGTAAGTTATTTGGACGCACACGTACTGTTGGTAAATTATTGCGTAATTTGGCAAGCAGGGATTTGTGGCACATTGAGGAGACACAGTTAAACACCCATTTTAGGATTTTTTTTAAACATCACATTAGTATCTCAGGTTTATATATTGTTTAATTAAGGCCACAATGTGAGTATGTTCTGCACTCTAGCGGTCAACTCTTCTCTCACAAGAGGAAGCACGAGAGGAAGGACAGTGAGCTAGCATACAGGAAATACAAGATGAGTCAGTCTCTAGGATCTGCTAGCCTGGAGGTCAGCCTGGAGAACGGGTCAGATAGACCTCCATCAGCAGGATCATTGGCCTCAGGTCAGTTTTCAATTTGACATCTCCCCCCCTCCATCAGCCTCATGTTTGTTTCCTTAAAATGGAGTGTAAAATTAATCTAAAATAACTCTCTATTCGCTAAGGTACCTGTCCGAATCACAACGATACCCTTTTAAACTCAAGGAAGACATTATATCCATATTTTGCTCGATGTTTTTTTCGTCTGCAGAGACAATGAAATAAAAATGAGAATTTAACACTTTTTGAGAAATAAAAATGATGATATAGTTTTCATTGTTGTCAATTAGTGGTTTAAAGCCACTTAAAACTACGTATACAGTCCATATACAGTCCCTTTAAGATATTCATTTTCAGAGCAGAGCAGTGTGTAAACCATTCATAAATTATTTGAAGGTTTTGTTTAAAGTTTAATGAATAATTTTTAGGTTGTTCCACACCGCCCCTTTCCCTCACCCCGACCAGTCTTGCAAATCACTTTTAAAAAGGAGCCAGCAGTTCTAGCACAATTACCACAGGTAACAATTTTTAACATATTTTGACTAAAAATGCTTTTTTAATTTAATGTTTTCAGGATATTTTTTTATATTTTTGAATTTTGCTATTTTGGAATATTTTTTTAATTTTGATATATTTAGACCGTTCCTGAAGATATTTGGCAGAATTATCTCCTAAGGTTTGAGGCTGAGGAAGGTTGTGGATTCCAGGTAAACCCACCCCCCCCCCACCCCAACCATCTAAAAAAAGGAAATTTAAAAAAAACATTTTAAATTCCTGACAAACGCCCCTCCCCCTTTTAGCGAAATTTTACATTGTAATTTAAAAAGTAAAAATATAGTAAATATATAAGCATATAAATATAAATATATAAATTTTTCAACACAAAAATTCCTGTTGTAATGGAATTTTTATAAAACAATGCTACATTGGAATCCGTGGATTAGTAAGACGACCTTTTATTAATCTTAAGTATATTTGATGTTGTTAAAAATAGTTTTACAGGTGGCTTGAAAAGCAACTTTTTAAAGAAAGGGTTTGTGTCTATTGCATTGCTGCTTTGTTTCATGTTTATTGGTCCATTAAACGTCATAACTTGATTCAAACCGTCGTCTTCCTATTCCACAGTGTTATGGGTCTCCCTGTCCTGTTCTCTATAATTAACTGTTTGTTTTGCACAGTCTCGATCAGATAGGATTAAATAAGAAGTTTACTCCGCCATTTTAATTAGTTAATCCGCGACATTTCGGCACTAACTGGTTCTCTACAGAGTTTCTTTAATTCCTGACTTATCAAACTAAAAGAATTCCAGACAAAGCCTGATTAAAATATTTCATTATTCATTCTTTTTGCACAGTTTGGCCATACCAATATTTAGATAAGATATTAGGGAAATATCGATAATCATTTTTGGATGATTGATATAAGAGTTTCAGATAAAATATTACTAATTATTAATGCTTTTATTTTTACAATTATTTTTATTACATTTCTGAGTTTTGTTTTTATTATTATTATTATTATTATTATTATTATTAATTAGGACGCACACGTACTGTTGGTAAATTATTTGGACGCACACGTACTGTTGGTAAATTATTTGGACGCACACGTACTGTTGGTAAGTTATTTGGACACACACGTACTGTTGGTAAATTATTTGGACGCACACGTACTGTTGGTAAGAGTTGTTTTAATAATGCTAGAATCTGAATGATAATAATGAAAGGTATAAAAGTAATTGTTCCATTGATAATGGATCCTTTAGCCGGACAAATAATTGTCAGGTTTCCGCATAGACCTCAANAGGAATGTGAGGTTGAGGATACAGAGCATTTTCACTGCAAAGATGAAGGCTGTGAAACAGTGTTTAGGTATTTTCTAAAACTTAATAAAAGTGAAAACAAATATTTTTGGCCAATTGGTCAGGGCCGAATTATTTCACATTTCAATTAATTAATTTTATTAGCTATCGTTTCTCTAATAATTGTTTAAGGGGTACCTTTGTGAATTTAGTAAAAAGTCCCTTTATAAATGATAAATATTTAGAACTGAAGAGGGGGTGAGAGAACATGGGCGGAGTCATTTTCTTCAGGAATCCATATCTGATTCATGCTTTTACAAGGTACGATATATATATAGTTTATTCATTCATTCATTTATTCTTTTTTATTCATTTATTCCTTCATGCATTAATTCTTTCATTTATTCATTCATTCATATAAATAAAACCATATATTAATTCGTGTACAGGTTGACCCCGAGGAGCCAGGAAGTGAGGGGGCTTGTCCCCCCTCATGTACATTTACTTCCAAGGAGGTTCATTATCATTGCAGAATGGTAAACCCTTTTTATACTTTCCTTGAATCTTGAATCCTTTTTACACTTTCTTTGATTTTTTAATCCTTTTCAGACTTTTCTTAAATCTTGAATCCTTTTCCATACCTTCCTTGGATTTTAAATCCTTTTTTACTGTCCTTGAATCTTGAGTTTTTAGTCCTAAATCTTGAATCTTGAATCTCATGTAATAAAAAAGCCATTTATATGACGATACTTCTGTGATTTGTGATCATACTTGATTCTACTTCAAGCCATCACGATTTATTGAAATTTCGCGAATTTTTAAAATAAGAAAACAAAAATTCTGTCCCCATAAAGCCACCTCCCCCCGACCCTTTTTCCAATCAATTAAATCAAATATATTGTTAGTTTTGCCAACAAACCTCAAAATGCAGTTTGTTCTTTAAATCAACGGCTTTATTTAATCTTACGACTTTAATTACCCATTAGGAAAACAAATTGCTAAAAGCCTGAAAAAGCTTGAAGCCGTGTAATTTATCCCAACCCGCTCATTATTGGAGTATATGGTAGGGATGCTGGGGCGCGAATAGTTTACTGGTTAACGTGTGAGTTATATATTATATACCCTACACATCAGCCTTAGGCAATCCAGCCATTTTCAGTCAATCGACTTAATTGTCTTAGTTCTAATACAAACATTTATAAATTTATATATAAAATATATAAATAGGTAGGTTATGATATCAGTAATAAATCAGAATATGACAGAGTTCCTCGATAAAGCATGCCAAGGGTAAAGGCTTAAATACCCGTTGACCTTTAGATACAATTTTAGCGAAGAAAACGGTTTTCGCACACACCCCATAAATCAATATTTGCAACGTCTGTCTTTTTTTGCGTTAGTCTTAACCCCAATATATCTAATATTTCAAATACAAGGCTCCAAAATTGGGAACTTTTGAATTGCAGAAAGAGATATAAATCGACGAAAATGGATCTCTTATTAGTTTATTATAATCATGAATTTAACCTGTTTGAATCGATTTAAATCAGTTCCTTCATAAGTTTTCAGCTCAGATCTTTCAATTATTAAATTTTAGGATGGTTGTGATGAACTTATTCTTTGCACTGATCAGCCCTTCAGAAGATTAGACCACTATAAGGTATTTATCTATTATCTTAAATCTTTTTCTATCAAAATAAAAAATTACACAGTTATGATTTCCTGTACTCGAAAACAACAGTACATAATAATAACTGTACAGGTGTATGTGAACAATAGTAAATGTAATTAATTGCTACAGGTACATGAGTACAGTAGAAAATGGCAAGCACAATCAAGTCTACTGCAACCTAACCAGGTATGTGCCTTTTAAGTTTTATTGCATGCATAAAATGCTTTTTCATGTTTTATGTACAGCAGCTTTTTTGTACAGTGTACAGTTGTTATGTTAAAACAAGTTTAATCCAAATGCATGATTATTTTCTTCGATAAGCCAGTCTCTCTTTGGTCAAATCCATGAAGTTTTGACTAATTGAGGGATGGTTAATCTTTCTATTCGTTTTGGTGAGTGTAGGCCATTCCATTCATTTATTTGTTTAGGTTATTCCATTCATTTATATATTTAGGCCATTCCATTCATTTATAAGTTTAGGTTATTCCATTCATTTATATATTTAGGTCATTCCATTCATTTATAAGATTAAGCCATTCCATTCATTTAAAAGTTTAGGCCATTCTATTCATTTATGAGTTGAAGCCATTCCATTCATTCATAAGTTTAGGCCATTCCATTCATTTATAAGTTTAGGCCATTCCATTCATTTATAAGTTTAGGCCATTCCATTCATACATAAGTTTAGGCCATTCCATTCATTTATAAGTTTCCAACTTAGATTAGATATTTTTTCATGTTTTTTTTTTAAATCTCAATGATTGGCATTTTTTTATTTTGTAAAATTTCTGATTTTATGCTGAGATTTACATTTGGAAAAGGTTTCTAATGTCTCTCGAAATTAAAGTATTTTAACAAAAGCATGTATTTTTATTATATTGAGGTTTTAGTACCTTTTTAGTAAAACTGATTAAAAGGTGTTAACCATATTTTAATCCAATAACACAATACTAGTTTTTGTATGCCAATATATTTCAACGAAAGGTAGTGTATATAACAAAAGGCAGTGTTAAAGTAATATCAATAATATGTCTGCCAAAAATCAATTTAAGTAAGTCTTAAACATATCTTTGGCAATTAAACAAGCGTTTCCTTGTATTTAAACTCCTATACGCATGAGAACCTAAAACATTTGAGTTGAAACAGCCACAGGGCTGTTATGGTGTGGGAATAACAGAATGACAACTTTTTGGTTAGCAAACAGAATGGCGGATTTTTCGGTTTAAAAAAAACGAAATTGCGGATTTTTCGGTTTTAAAAAAAATGGCGGATTTTTCCGATTAAAAAAACAAAATGGCGGAATTTTTTATTAAAGAAAATGGAGGGTTTTGGTTACAAAAAACGAAATTGTGTATTTTACGATTAAAAGAATGTCCGACAAAGATGAAAAGTGTGAATGCATTTAATGAATAGTTTGTCATTCAGTAACTTTTTAAAGATTAACCTCAATTAACCCTGCAAGATGACGACTACTACTAAAATATTAACACCAAACCCCGACTGGCTGTCGAAATTCAAATATTTTAGGGTCGCTTGGACGCTGTTAGTCGCGGCGAATACAGTTTTGGTCGCGGCGAATCTGTCACTATGACGACAGCGTCTAGTATAGATGCCATGTTTAAAAGAAAACGGGGCAGACCCCCAAAGAATCGAATTATTGAGGTAGGTGTTAACTGTGTACCCTGCAGTACACTTAATAATGTAAACAATAACAACTTTACGGTGCCATGCATTGTGTCTCAATGGGCAAGATGTTGTTATCAACAAATATCGTTTTTATTGTTCGTTTCGGTTGATGATAAACAGCTCGGCTAAATTGCCACCATTTGTAATGTTTTGAAAACATAATTAGGTTTAACGTGTTTTCCAGTTTGGATAAATAGGTTTTATGTCCATATTACGATAGATTTACTGCTTTTGCTGATTCCTCAATAATTTTATTTTCTATTCAGCCTAACGTTAAACACTCGACCATGAAAGATAGAAAGAAATAAAAATGTACGAATTTCTTTTTAAATTCTGCCAAACTCTTAATATAAAGTTTTTTTTTAAATTGGATAAAGTAATACAAATTTATAATATTGACAATAAAATCTTACTCAAAGCTTTCAAAGTAAATATGATCTTTCGTTTGACAATAAATTCATCAATTTTTGCATTCATTTTTCTACAGTTTTCTATATACTTGTAGAGTATAGGATTGGGCATTTCCTTTTTCAATTTAGAACAAATAATATTTCAAGGCTAAAAAGAAAAACTGCAAAATTTTTGCACACGATTCAAATTATCTTTTTACTGCTGTTATAGTTTTACAATAAGCTGTACATTAATTACAACTTACATATGTACATGTCCTAACAATATTTTTTTTTCATGTACGGTTCAGGTTTTCGACAGAAATGTAAGTTTAATTCATTAAGCATTTTAACAAACAGCTTTTATAACAAATATACAATAAATTTGCATGTTGATCATTAGGGTAAAAATTAATTTAAAGAACAGCAGTAAAAAAGTGTTCAATTGTTGTAATAAAAACACTGATTATTTATGATAAAAATGTTACTTAAACACTTGCTCGATGTTCTAACAATAGTTTTGTTTTATATCAACATATTTATAGATCCTTATCTAACTTAGGAACAATATATAATTTAATTAAAGTAAACAATATACTAGATACATCCTTGTTTAGAAAAGTCATTTTTTAAAAAACCTTCCTATTTTTTTTTTCTTGGTTAACCCTGAAAATCTGCAATGGAATTTGCTTCTGCAAAAATAAACCCTTTTAATAATTTCCTCCTGGACTCTCCCCCTCCCTTTCTTCTCGCTTTCCCCCCTTCTCTTCCCTACCCTTCTAAATAATTTATATTCATAATACATAATTAGACCCAAAATCCAGGTTCTCTAGTCTTTTCAGTCCTTTCTCACGCTAGAGCTGTAAAACGTCTATATTACAACACTGGCAAGTAAACGGGGGCAAAGGTAGCTAGGGTGCTTTAAAAGGAACTTCGAACCACATTTTGGAGGTTTTAAATATTAACATTTGATAACAAGTTCGCACATTGTATTAGTTGAATATCTTATTCATTGTGTATATGTAGAGTTAGTTAGTTATTATAAAAAATATGTACTAATTAAATTAAAAATGCAGAATAATTTTTAAAAATTATTATTTTAGTTTGGTGGCAATCCTTCTTCACCCAATGGTCCTCAAGCTGTATTCACAAGTTTCAAGCTACCCAAACCAGGGGTTCCTTCCTCAATGCCAGATTTTGGGGGTCTTGTGCCCCCTTACCACTACGGGGGCAACCGCCCCCATATCCCACAGTTTTCAGCCCAGCATCAGTTAACAATGAAAAGTGAACCAGGTACTTTTTGAACTTCTTTTTATAAGTTTCGGACTGTACTTTTTTTTGAAGTACTGTGTATTGGAGATTGTAGTTATAAAAAGTGTTCAAAGTACATATCTGAACATCCTATATGTCCAATGTACATGTTGATTACTGTACCGTGTACACTGTTAAAGAGAACATAGTTGGACATATATCATGTAACAGAGAAGCATATATATCATGTACATATTTATACAAAGCAGGGTGTACACTGTACACTGTACATTGTTTAAAAGTGCATACACGCAATTAAATGACAATCGAATTTGGGAAGTATAAACATGAGTCAATATTGCAGTAATTTATTTATTTTCCAATTGTTGTAATGTTCATGTTTAAATAGACAACCTGAGTTTCTGAAGATAGTTCAGCTTTTCTATATAATTTTCTTGGTTAAGGTTTGAGTAGTAAACACTGTTGGTTATTACAGTTTTCATGACATTTGACTCTTGTCGTTTATCCAGCGTATCCAACCTGGTATTTATACTTTCTCCGGGTAGGGTAAACCTATCCAACCTTCTCAGGGTATAATATATAGTACTGGATAAACTTTTTAGACCATAATAAACCTTGTATTAAATACTAAGGGTATAGACAAAGTAAAAGATTTCAGAGTATACATACATGTATTATATATAGATAAATTAGAATAGACATTTTCTAGTTCTTTTATATTTTTCACTTTTTACGTTGTTTTTAAAGCTTCATGCTTCTTTAAATCTTATTGATTTTATGATTATAATATTATTATCATTATTCAACATGGATTCTATTTCAAGCCTCTAAACTCTAGAGTTTAGATCAATTTAATTTTCACGCTGAGTAAAGGAGGAAAAACAAAAAATATTCACAGAGAATTTCGATTTTAGGTCAAAATTCCATCGCCGAAGATTCCCGGCCAGTGTCACCACCGACCGCTGACGATCCGGATAAAATTCGGCAGAATAACAACATCCAGACGGAAGATGATTCAGTGGCCGACGATTCCTCCCCGCCAAAAAATCAAGGACTGATAAAGGCGAGGGGTACATATTTCCCACTGACCGCCTTTCCGACGAGTATGCCCCAAGGCCCCGTCATGAGGCGGGCAGGAACGCCCCCTGGTACAGAACAGTCACCAATAGGTGAGTTTTAGATAAACTAAAGGGGCTGTCGCCGTAATTTCAAGTGGGTCTCCTTGTAAAGAGAAACATACCAAAAACGCAACAACAACCTTTCCCTGGTGAAAAGAGTAAAATATATTGCAAGTGTGTAATTCTCACAAATCCCTTTTTTTTCAGAAGCAGAAATCAGAAATTTGATAGACAAACCATAAATGACAATTATCAATTTTCAAAGTTGAACAGATGAATAGCTCATTCTTGATCTTATAAAATTTGAAAGGGTACCATTGTGAATCTGACATGCAACTTTATAAATGGAGGGTCACTTGACATTTCGTCTACAATCTCTTTAACACACACCTCTTTTTAAAAGTTAAAAACTAAAAAATGTTAAAAATTAAAGTTTGACAGTAAAAATGTGTCCTTATGTTTGAATTTGTTTCGGCTATCTATATATTTTTCTAAGATATGATGTTGAATCATAAACTGGTTAACAATTTGCCTTGTAATCCGCCAACACCCTTATTTCCATCCAGGCTCATCAACATTGTCGCGCATTTTTCATTTTGAATTTATTCATGTTCTGCCATGACATATATTAATGTTTGCAAAAAATGACTTGTTTCCCCGTTGTGATTTCATGCAAATATTGGAACTCATATCTCCACGATGAGAGATGAAGAAAAAGATAAATAACAGGTTTAATTTTGTGTCCAGGGGTTTGCGGAACGACAGGCCCTGTTAGACAGACAAGAGGCAGAACAGACAAAACATACAACAAACAGACACTTTGATGTCAACCAGCGGGATGCAGGGGGATCCATAGAACCTAGTTCCCCTAGGCAGGATTCCCCCTCTCCTCAGATCCTTTCCCCCGCCCACCCCTCCCCTAACCAAGCGACCAGTCCCTCCCCTCTCTCTCTCTCCTCCTCCTCTCCCAGTATGTCCTCCACCCCGAACTCCACCTCCAACCACCTAAATTTTGCCAATCCCTTCGGACTAGGGAGCAGGCCCCCTTTCCCCTCCCCGGGTATGTTGCCCCCTGGCATGAACCCTTTCTTCCCCCACGGAGGCATGCTCCTCCCCAACCCGTTCCAGAGGTTCCCTCAGGACCCGAGGATGAACCTGTTCCCGAGGTCACCCTGGACTCAGAAGAGGTCGAACACCCTGGACCTGGAAGAGGACCTTATGTCGATGGATCAGAAGAAAATGAGGTTACAGACTAGTATGCGCATGCTCAAAGATGAACCAGTCCCTGAAGGATACATGAGATATAGGTAAGAATTTATCACATTAATCTTGCTTTACAGCAAGAGTGATGCATACAGTGTTTTTCCTTTCTAGCTGTATGTATTCTGTACAAATTGCTCTGGTTGCTCAATGCTCCTGTACACTGTGAAGTACAGCAGAATCAATATGGATTTAACGAGTAATAATTGGTTTAATTAGTATACGTGATATATTTACTTTACTATTACATAATATATGGCTAGAAATTCTTAAACTACGTTTTAAAAAATCCCCATAAAATATTTTTATATTCCTGTAACGTTTACAAGTTTCACATTTTGCGCACGTCATCAGTGCTCATTGCTCATTAACTACGCGCATAATTTCCCCACGGGTGTACGTGTATTAATTTACTCAAACATACTTGTGTATTGTACAATGTACATTTAATTAAAAATATCAAGTCTTCTGGTAAATTTAACTTTCGCTTAGAGCCCTATACGAATTCTAATTTATGTCTTTCGTTGTAATTTCGTCGAGAATGCATTTAATCCGAGAATTTATTACCTTTTTAATTATTCACTTTTATCTTTTTTCTTTTTCTAAGCCCTCTTTTTGTTATGAATAACTTACTGCTTTTGTGTTTAATTTTTGAACTGTTTGTGTATCTATCAAAGTAGCTCACATAGCCTGCTCTTGTCGCATACCATTAACCCAACTTCTAAACCCAATTGTTCTCGTTGCAACAAATCCTTTTCAAATCTCAAATCCGCCATTTTTAATCCACCATCTTGAAAATCTGCAATCTCCTAATTCTCTTTTTTGCATTCCAGCTGTTTGGCAGATTTAATTGGATTTTTTCCTTTTGAAACATAGTTTTGGTTTAGCCCTTGATCAGGTTTTGGATAAATAATTCATTGTTTTTATCGTAAATTTTATAACATTCTTTTGATTAAGGATTTGTAAAAATTAAGAAACTGTTTCTATGTTTTTACCATGATTCAACAAAACAACAAAATATTGCTTTAAACGTTTAATGTAATGGGGGTATGGGTGGGGGGGTAATAAGTTTTTGGTCTACCCTGCTTGTTTTTGTTTCTCTGAAACCTAAAACTTCTAAGTGTTTAGAGGCAAAAGAAGTACTAGAGCAGTTAATCCTTTATTCTTTGCCTAAGCATAATTTTAAAACCATTGTTAGACAGATTTTTTAAATAAAAATTCAACTAATAATCCACGACTTTGCGCTTTTAAAGTACAAAAAAATGTATAAAACAAACTAATTTTACTGAATCTAACTCCTGTAAAATAAGATTTGAAAATATTTTAACATTGCATGATATTCCACATTTCTCGTCAAATTAATATTATCATTTAATGAAAGTAATCACATTTTTCACAGTGTAATAATCACTTTTTTATCTTCTGGCACGGACTGGGGTTGAGTGGCAGTGGGCTTAAACTGGAAATGGAGGAAAGAGATAAGGATTGGTTCCCGACCCTGTCAGTTGTTTATAGGACTTTTTAAATCCACAAGTCTTATTTTCAATCCTGTTTTTCATTTCGCCGTGCACGCGCCTTTCATAATTCTCAGGTCAACTTGTTGGGTTGCGTGCACAAACTTTACAGATTCTTATTACTTGCGCGCATATAGCACTTCTTGTGATATTCGCATGAGCAATATGAACTCAATTTGCACACGAGAGGGGTTAGATTGGTCCAAATTTGATTTGAACAACTTGAAATTAATTGCAATATCACTTACAAGGATTAACTGCCCAGACACATCAAAAAAGAATTTGATAACATTTTAATTTACAATTTTCATTTTGTGGACAATAGATATTTCAATGATATTTAGATTTAATATATTCTGCTAAAAGTAAATAAATATTATTTTGTGGAGAAATGCAGCATACAGAGAGCAATGAATATTAAAAAATGATATCTTACCCTTGTTGGATAGCCCTGTACACTGTATAAACATGAACTATTTGAACACTAACCAAACTGAATTTAAAAAACCAAGTGCATTTCTATTCAAATAATTTGAAAAAATATCTTAGCAACTAGTTGCATAACTTGCATCAAACACATTTCCATTGTATGCGGAAGGATTGCAATTATAGATTCTGCGACAAGACAAGGTAAATTCATATATATGTACCTTTATATCTGTAACTCCCCCCCCCTCAATCCCCTCCTTAATCTATAAAGCCCCCTGCTAGGCAGCCCAAGACCTGTATGTTTCAAGCACTGTGCAGATACAAGAAAAAAGTTGATTAAAATTTCTCATACAGAGAAGTAAACCCATTTTAGCCTAGATATAGATAGATAGATAGAAAGATAGATAGATAGATAGGATAGATGGATAGGTAAAGATTTCTTTAAAGGTTTTATATTTATCTATGGTTTCCACTAATTTTTTTAAGATTAATTTTGTATTTATGTATTTCTGATTTGAGAATTTAACAATAATATAATATTATTACATGGTGGGACGCCTAAACAAGTATTTATTCTGCATAAATCATCTAAATGCAAATTGAGTGCTATACTAGAGCTACATACTTGAAAAATCGACAGTTTTTGCAGATTAGGGCGTTTCTACATTATTTTCGAGGGAGGGTGGGCGGTAGGATATTCAAAAAAGAATTCATTGAATTATGTAAGATTTCTCTTACGAGTTTCCTATTTTTAAAGCCAGAAGTTAATCATGGAATCGTCTTAAACTTGTTTAATAAGTTATGTTAATTTCAAACGCTGTAAATATATTAATAAAAATCTTATTCCTTGGATGGTAACCCTGTAAATTGCAATGTTTATGCTTTTTTTGCCTGTTTTACTGCATTTTTTATCTCTTAGTCTTTTATCATATTATTATTCATTCTATCTTCCTTATTCAAGCCAAATCTATTCAACCACTACTCACTTTTTGAGCCTTGGAAACGCCCTTTTTGAGGAACCCGATCACTTAAAAAGGTTAGAATAGAGACCTGTATAGAACCCTTTTAGTGGGCTGACATATCTGTATATCTGAGTCAAGGCTTCAATAGGATCTTCATAAAGAAAGAAAAAGTGCATGAGCTTTTAAAGACCGGCGCAGTTTCAACCTAAAAACAGACGGATTAATGGGAATAGCAAAAATAAAAGATTGCGCGAAGCCTTTTAAAATGGACAACGTGTAACTTCTTAAAGGAACTGTACAGTGTACATGTAATTTTAAGTAACCGCCAATTATATTGAGTGTCATGTCTGATTCACGGTAACCTTTAAATTTTTGTCGGAGCTCAAATTATTGAGTTATCCTTGTTTTACTTTCTGAAAATTAATAATTTTCAATTTATTTTTACTAATAAAGTTGACGTGGGAAGTTGAGCGAATTTAATCTTTTAATAAACTTGTTTTCAAAGTGTGTCCTATATCCCAATATATAAATATACATATATATACGAATATAAAGCACAAAGAAACATGGTTGAATATACTTTAAAAAGATATTGATATTTCGAAACTTGTTTGCGTTTTTAATTTCACTTAAAAAAAATTTTAATCAATGTTTAGGAAGTAATATATCCCTGTAAAAAAGGGGTACCCTGACACCCTATGAAAGGGAAAAGAAAGAAGCCTAATTTTTACTTTTTATTCAAAATAATCTCACACTTATTTAGAGGGTTTAGAGGGTATACAGGGGTTCAAGGGGGAAGTAGAAGAAAGGAGGCTAAAGCAAGGTGGGGGGGGGTTATGGGATATCTTTGTCAATTTGCGATTAAAAAATAAACACTAGAATAAAAATCTAAGCTACAGTCGGAACTTTACTTGCCACTACTTGAAAAATATACTAATTGCAACATGCCTAGGTTCAGAACTGCAACCGTTTCTACTTGCTAAAAATGAATATATAATATATTAATTGCAAACGGTCTACAGGTTCAGAACTACAGCAGTTTGTACTTGCCAAAAATGTATAATATACTAATTGTAACGTGCCTAGATCCCAAAAAGCATCAGTTTCTTCTTGCCAAAAATAAATAATGTAATAATTGCAACATGTTTAGGTTCAGAACTGTAATAGTTTCTTCTTGCCTAAAATAAATAATGTATTATTTGCAACATGTCTAGGTGCAGAACTGTAATAGTTTCTACTTGCCTAAAATGTAAAATATACTAATTGCAACCTGCCTAGGTTCAATGAGGATTGTCAGTTTACAAATTGCAACTACCGAGAGCATCAAACACATTTCCATTGTATGCGGAAGGATTGCAATTATAGATTCTGCGACAAGACAAGGTAAATTCATATATATGTACCTTTATATCTGTGTCCTAATCTGTATCTGTATCTGAATCTATAAATATACCTTTATATCTGTATCTGCATCTGTATCTGTATCTATATATGTACCTTTATATCTGTAACTGTATCTGTATCTATATATGTACCTTTATATCTGTATCTGTATCTGTATCTGTATCTATATATGTACCTTTATATTTGTATCTGTATCTGTATCTGTATGTATCTGCATATGTATCTGTATCTCCGTGATTATATCTGTATCTTTAACGGAATCTTGATCAAATCTAGACAAAATGTAAAGTTTAAATTTATACAAAATTACTAGTACAATTTAATGACTTCATAGTTCCTCACATTTTGATTTTGCGCTCAAGTTTAAAAATAAATAAACATTTTTTTATGCTGTTAGAAATTCAAAACATTTTTTTCTTGTTCTTCTCCACATCTTCTTACAGAAAGCATGCATGTCAGATTTCGATTTACTTTAGTTTGACGTGTTTTGTATCTAGGTTTGTACAGCATACAGCTCGTCATGAACGCCTGGATACCCTATGTGGAGACGAGTTCCAAGGGTTCCGTGGGGTTCCCTGTGGTAGGGAGGAATGTGAGCTAAATACCCTACACAACTCAAGTAGGTTTAATCAAGGTCCGGGCCTTAGATTATTTGTTTTTCTCCATTTTGAATTAATTTTTTATAAGGTTTTTATCCATCTTTAAGCATCTCATAACCCTTTTTCTATTATCTCCTAACCCTTCTTTCTATTATCTCCTAACCCTTCTTTCTATTATCTCCTAACCCTTCTTTCTATTATCTCCTAACCCTTCTTCCTATTTTCTCCTAACCCTTCTATATATTATCTCCTAACCCTTCTTCCTATTTTCTCCTAACCCTTCTATATATTATCTCCTAACCCTTCTTTCTATTATCTCCTAACCCTTCTTTCTATCATCTCCTAACCCTTCTTTCTATTATCTCGTAAACCTTCTTTCTATTATCTCCTAACCCTTCTTTCTATTATCTCCTTACCCTTCATATCCATTATCTCCTAACCCTCCTTTCTATTATCTCCTAATCTTCTTTTCTATTATCTCTTACCTCAGCATTCTATAATCTCCTAAACTTTTCAATTATCTCCTAAGCTTTCTTACTGTTATATCCTAATCCTCCTTTCTATTGCCTCAATTCTGTTTTCTATTATCTCCTAACCCAGCTTTCTATTATCTTTGCACCCTCCGTTTTTAGTATCTCCTAATCTTACTTTCCATTATCTACTTCTTCTCCTTTCTACTATCTCATACTTCTCCTTTCTATTACCCCTAACTCTTTTTTCTATTATCTCCTAAACTTGTCAATTATCTCTAAAGCTTCCTTTCTATTATCTCCTAAACCTCCTTATACCCCCCCCCCCCCCCCCCCCCCCTCCGTTTATCTGTTATGACTAGAGTCCTAAACAAAGTGCAGTGTAAAAGAAAACACATAAATTATTGCGAGTTTGTGGGGAAACTGCGGTCATAAACCCTTTGTTAAAAGGTGTAATAGCGATTATATAATCCTACATTTTCACCAAAATCTTTGTTTTGACAAGGGCTCCGTTCTTCATACACTTGTATAGCTATTAATAGTAGGCAGGTAGTAAAAATAAAGTGTGGGGGAAGGGGGGGGGTATAGTACCTCTTGTACTTTTTACATTAAAACTCATTGTACTTTATTACAGGCGCAAACCAGAAAAGTAGCAGTCACTTCCACTGCCTCAAGTGCGACTACTACTGCACCGACACCAACAAGGTGGTCGCACATAGGCGACAACATCAGAAACTCGACAGTATCATGGCAGCAGGGTTCGAAAAGTACACTCCCACGCAGTACTGTACAATACCGGGATGCAGTCATAATGGTAAACAGACCCATTACCATTGCCGCAAATGTCAATATGCTGTTCTTGGGCTCTCACAAATGGAGGCGCACAAATACCGACATCTAAATGAATAAGAAGGGGAGTTAAGCTCTGGTTTCCCGTTAACAGGAAATCCACGAGAAGTAATTGTGGAAAGTCTAGTAACTACGCAGCAGTGGGGCAGCTACTGATCAGCTCTACGCGGCTTATATTCATGAAAAGCGAGAAAAGTCAAAATACAACTTGTTGTTCATTTCCGGTGAAAATTGGAGTTCGTAGACAATTGACAAATTGTGAAGCTTATCCCTGCCCCCCCCCCCTCTCACCAGCAGTTGTACACTGTACAGTATACAGTATATGGTGTACAGGTACAGGGTTCAATCAATGCTAACCAAGCTTTACATCTAACGTATCTGTGATTATTTGCATCATCAGACATGGTCCCAAACTTTTTCTAAGAAAAATGGGACCAAATTCACCTCTCTCTTTCTCTCTATGTCGACAATCATGATGTGTCTGTTCAAAACAGGAATTAGTCGTTTTCACTTTTTTTTAGAACTATATGTACCAACCATAAATGTATGTACCAGTACTAAAGTATCCAATGTACCCCGGTTTAGAGATACGTACGTACCCCCCGGTTAATCTGACTAGAATGAGATAGCTTTAGTCTGAATATTTAAACAGTAGTCACTCCCTTTAATCATTCTAGAATTGAGCATGAGTTTCCCAAATATTAAATGTTAACATTGTTGTAAATAAATCACAGGAATCTCTTATTTTGCCATAAATATATTATTCAGTTTGACAACAGCACCTTATTTTTGTTTTATTTTCACTTTCTCAATTTATATTAAATTGTAAGATTGCCACGAAATCTACAGTGCCACCATTTTGTTTAAGTGCCATATGTAAAATAGATGTTTGTACAATAAGTGAGACACTCCAATTCGCCTTGTAAACTACTACGGCTGAGTTATCCGCCATATTTAATTCCAGGGCGGAGTGTCTTTCTTGCGAAAACGTGAATTCGTAATGCCAAACATAATATTATTTTTAATCTTTGTTTATCCTTGTTTCTTTCAAGCTTCTCTTGTTGTTCTTTTCAAAAGGTTCAGACTTGATTTTGAGTGAACACATTTTGAACACTTTTTGTTGATAGCTCTATATCCCTATACCCCCTCCCCCACTCTACACTGCATACTGTTGTTTTCACATAAATTCATTTGTATACATAAAATATTTATATATTCTCACCGTATTTCTAGTTTGATTTAAATATCAAGCTTAGATTTTAGTTTAATTCAAAGCTGTTTATATCAAATCAGGCAACATTTTGAGGCCTTAAAAATGCAAAAAAATTTGACCAAAGCTGTGAATGGGTATATATGTACACCACTCAAAACCCTTAAAGTGTCCAAGGCACCTATAAAGTGGCTGCAACCCCATTCATATTTACTTTATTCAATTTTTTATAATCGCACTATTGTATCCACACTAGGGAAAATTTAATTATTTAATTTGAGTGTAAAAAAATATTTGATCTAGTAAAAATGTAATTTTTTGTGTTTCACTCTCTTTACTGTTAAAAATGAGCATATTTTATTGTTTCAATAAATGTGTGTTTTAAATCATATTTTACTCAGAACTTTTGTGTTTTAAATCATATTTTACTCAGAACTTTTGTGTTTTGAATCATATTTTACTCAGAACTTTTGTGTTTTGAATCATATTTTACTCAGAACTTTTGTGTTTTGAATCATATTTTATTCAGAACTTTTGTGTTTTGAATCATATTTTACTCAGAACTTTTGTGTTTTGAATCATATTTTACTCAGAACTTTTGTGTTTTGAATCTCAGGATTTAGCATTTATCTCAAACCCGTTGGAGTTGGTATTCTGCTGGGGTAACTGAAACGAAAGGATCAAGGATCTCTTAAATCTAAGAGTTGTCGCAGAGTGGATATCGAGATCAATTGATGCAGATTTGCGCCATTTAACTCAAAAGTTTAGACCTTCAATCAGATTGAGATGCATGTTATTATTGTTTAAGTTTGCGAAGGACGAAGTGCATTTTTCAAAGATGTGTTTGCACAGTTTTGCATGTGAGAGGTTTCGAGATTTTCGCACATAAAAAAAATTCACAATATCTTCAGAAATTGTCATATTTCAAAAGTAGATTTGTAAATCTATTAAAATATAATTTTGAATATATATTAATTCCAGAAGTGCCCCTAGTTCTTCCTCTTCCATGTTATGATATTATCCATACATATTACGTTAATCATTTTTTCGCAGATTTTTCCGATTTAGTTTCGTAGTGGAAGTAAAATTTTGTATTTAAATTTTGTTGAGGTAATTATTTGGACCGGGCAGAGCCTTCCATGATGTGAGGTCAGTTAATTTTTTTTGCCCGTTCGATTCGGCCGTTTCAAAACTTACTGGATAAACTTACCAACAGACAAGGCATATAGATATAAATAGATATAAAAATTTCACAATAATATATTTAAAATGCAGAATATTTAGCTTTATTTTGTGGAGTTCAAATTCTCACGATGGGGGGGGGGGTAGCGGACCTGTTAAAAAACATTCTAAATTATTCCATTTTACAGAGCACAGTTCAATGGTTCTCATATTAAGCCTAATATCTATTCTTTAAATCAATTTTTTTATCAATTTGTTTTGTGTTTGAAATAGAAGTGGAGAGAAAATACCGATACGAGTTGAAAATCCATAAAACTGAATAGAATATAGCTAGATACAAAATAGTTTTTATTTTCGTACTTTTGGGAAATTCTTATAAACTACCAGTTGAAAAAGATAATTATTTTTTTATTAGTATTTTGAAAGTTTGGATTTTTAAATTCTTTTTCATGGAAAGAATCTAAATTTTTAATTTTATTTTGATATTTCGTATTTATAAAAAGATAATATGGCAGCTTGCTATTTCTAAGCCGAAAAAGGACACCCTTGAATGTAATTTTAAGACTTTCCGGACAATATAAGCATATCCAATATTTATTAATACAGACTTGTTGATTTTTAAAGATTTAATTAACATGTCGAATCTAAAACGTCTTGACATTTTATAGGTTTATCAAAACTTATGAACAGTCTACAGTTTACATGACATGGAACCGTCGTCTTTAACATTCTTTTATTATTTATTATAACCAGAAAACAATGGAATAGGAAGACGTCTCTATAGCAATACTTAAATGTATTCACCGATACAGGGACAAACGACCTAGGCTCAAATGCCATAGGGTCAAACGACTCGCGACATAGGGTAAAAAGACCTAGGGTCAAACGACAAAGAGTAAAACGACATAGGGTCAAAAATTGCGACCAACGGGCACAATTTTATTTAGACTATTTTTGGTTAATTTAAACTATTTTTGTGTTCATTTCAGAACTTGTAGCCGCAGCGCTCGGCCCCTAGCCTGTCCTAGCCGCAGCGCTCGGCCCAGAAATTGTCTTAACCTAACCTAACGCTGAAATAATAAATTTGTTTGTTTGTTATGTTTTATGTTCATTGTCTTAACATAACCCTGAAATAACGCATAAAACATTATTTCCATTTTGACCCTTTGTCGTTTTACCCTTTGTCACGTTCAAACCCTTTGTTCAAACCCTTTGTCACGGGTCAAACGTCAAACGGTCGTTTGACGTTTGACCCTATGTCGTTTGACCCAAGGTTGTTTGACCCTATGTTGTTTGACCCTTTGTCGTTTGACCTTTGGTCGTCTGACCTTGGGTCGTATGACCTTGGGTCGCTTGACCTTGGGTCGTTTGACCTTGGGTCGTTTGACCTTGGGTCGTTTGACCTTGGGTCGTTTGACCTTGGGTCGTTTGACCTTGGGTTGTTTGACCCTATGTCGCTTGACCTTGGGTCGTTTGACCTTGGGTCGTTTGACCCTATGTCGTTTGACCCTAGGTCCGTAAACTTGTTTCAAAGCAAATAGTAATTTAGTAAGTTAGTGAGTTAGTAAGTTAGTAAGTTAGTAAGTTAGTAAGTTAGTAAGTTAGTAAGTTAGTAAGTTAGTAAGTTTGTGAGTTAGTAAGTTAGAAAGTAATTAAGCTAGTAAGTTAATAAATTAGTAAGTTATTAAATTAGTTAAATCACTAACTTAATTGGGTCTGTTTACACTGCACAATTCCTGTGTATCATGCTCATTGAACTTTTTAAAATTATAACTTTATTCTTAAAGTTGTTTTTCTATTTCAGCGTTTTCTGATTATTACTTTATAAAAGACAAAGAAATAGTACATATATTTATTAAACTATTTGTATCGGAAACCATGTCGGGTTATATGGGTGAATACCTGGTATAACCTGGAATCTAAAAATGTGGGAAAATATAGAAATTTTCCCACATTTTCCTGCCGGGTCATAATCTGCCTTTTGTCAGATTCAGCTGACTCCGCAGAGAAAGATCAACATTTGAAAAATTGATATTTTTGGAATTCTTCCGGATAACATTTGTTTAAGATGTTCAGGGAAAGATGGAAAACAACCCTGAGGGGGAAAACAAGATATTTTTAAAGAAATATATCAAGGTACGCTGATGTGATTTAAAGTGACCAATTTACAACATGTACCTTTTAAAACTTTGTCTAATCGAGGATACCTTTCAAATAATCGACAATATCTTCTTCATTGTTACTCAGGAAAATGTTCAAAGTGTAATGTTGTGAAAATAGGAAAAAATTGAGGGTTAATTGAAAATAAGTGTACAGTCCCTTTTACCTTGTTCGCTACTCACGGTGAGATTAAACCAATCCCTCCATGTACAATGTACATTGTCGGAACTATTAGTTATGCAAAAACATTAATAATTAGTATGGACAGATTTAATGGATAAAATTGGATGGAAGGGTGGATGGAAGAATTTATCACTGAATTAATCAATGAGTAAATATAACTGGAATGGATTGGTGTGAAGAAATGAGCCTTTGTCTTGAGTTAATTTATTCCTCTGAATTCTATTATTACCTAAATCTAACAAAAACAGATGAATAACAAAAAATTTCAAATCATCCATTCATTCATCTATCCATCCTTCCCATCCATCCCATCCATCCCATCCATCCCATCCATCCCATCCATCCCATCCATCCCATCCATCCCATCCATCCCATCCTTTAAAAAGATTAATGATGGGGTGGGGTATAATTTATAACCCTTGGACAGTATAAATTGTTCATCTAAACTTACGAAAAAACACTCTTATATTATTTTTTAATTAAAAAAAAAATGGGTCAGTGCAAGCATTTTTAAAAATCATAAACCACTTAACCCTATTCCGATTGAGGGGGAATAACTCAAATAGTATTGGTCTTAGGCTGTTCAATTTTTTAAAATTTTATTACATGCCCCTTACATTAGTCTAAAAATAGCTTCTGCCTGAGTCGTCAGGCATACTGAATGCCTTATTTTACCTTTACCAGACTAAATCCAAATTTAGACCTACTTCCAGTCTTTGGATTTCAACAAGATATAGCTATTTGGAAAGTCTTCAACACAAGGAAGCAGATTACACAACTTCTGCAAAGATATTTTGCGGAGATTTTTGTACAGACACCTTTAAATGGGAATTTGCACAATTTTTTTCTTTCTTAAATAAACATTAAGGTTTTGCATATTTGAATTTGCTGGGTCAAGGGCTTTTCAAAAATATATAATTTATCAGAGTTCGCGCACTCGTTGTTTTTGCACATTTTTCGCGTAAAAACTTGATTCTGAAATAAATATTAAATTTTTTTTTATTTGCAATTTTTTTCAGATTATTAAAGTGGAGCCCAAAGGCTTTCTAAACATGTATCATATGTTATAGATTAGTATCACAATAAGGAAATAAAAGGGGGGGGTCACTGTGAGCTCCCCCCAGTTTATTTTGGGTAAACCAGACGTCAGTCGGAATAGGGTTAAAGAGGTGATTTTATGAAGCATGTCGATATGGGTATTTAAAGTTGCACCTCGAAGTATGACTGAATATTGCCCATTTCTTGGTTTTTTGAAATTTTTAAGAAAACTAGTTTTTTGAGGAATCTCGCAAATTTCCACTGAAACGTCCAATTTTTGCTTTTAACTTGTTCTATTCTAAACAGATTTGTTATGATTTTAAAATGTTTGAATTCAGTGTTTTTAGACAGATTTGTTGGTACCCATATGAATATATCTACATAGATTCAAGAAAAAAAAATTTTTTGCTTGCACTTTGTAGATTAATTTTTATAAAAGCGTGATGCGCTAAATGAATTTTAAAAAGTGAGAAAAAAATACATTTTTGCAATGCTTTTTTTTAGAAACTTTAAGACACGTGTTGAACGAATCTTCTCATTTTTATCAAAAATGTGGCAAATGGTCCCACCCCTAGTCCTGAAATAGAATGTAGATGCTCGGCCGCTAAAAACATTTATATTTAAGTTTACACTGCATCCTGTAGCTTTTAGTTTAATTACATAAAATTATCTTTTTTGCATGTCGACTCCGCTAAAATCAGTGAATATTTAAATCAACTCCCCCCCCCCCNAGTACAAGAAACAATACATATATAGTACAAGAAACAATACATATAGTACAAGAACAAAAGGACAAACAATAAAAGTATATATATTTATTTATATATTTTATTTAAATTATAAACAGGGTTAATATAAATTTATATAGTGACCAAAGCTGACAATTTTTAACTTGAAATCTTTTTAAACTGTTAAGTAATGTTGCCTCTTTAAATCTTTTTTTCTTTTCGTGAAATATGTCTAATGTTATAATAGAAATAAATAAAACTTAATTTTAGCTTGATATTACATTGTTAACTAACGAATTTTCTATAAATGGAATCGATGGATTCTATCGTTGATTATATCGATAGATTATATCGATTGATTATATCGATAGATTATATCGATAGATTATATCAATAGATTATATCGATATATTTATCGATAGATTATATCGATAGATTATATCGATTGATTATATCGATAGATTATATCGATTAAGGAAAAAGAAAAAACTGCTTTTCATGTCCAGCATTGCACTATTTAAAGGTATTTATCCATTATCCATCTTTCTCCATCCATCCAGCCAAATGGATACCTGAAACATAAAGAAGTGAAATCCAGAGACTTCTTCGCCTAGTCTTAAAAAAGAAAATCTCTCAAAAGGTTTTGTATTTGCAACTTCTTTAAATATGTTGTTTGGATGTACGATCATAACTAGGGTTTCTAGCGAACAAAACCTTTCGCGAAAAAATGCGAAAGATTGTTGAAGAAAAATGTAAAAAAATTTCTACAGTAAACCAATTAGATGTTTAGGAACATATTTCTCACTTTGTCAATAATCAATGTTAAAATCAATTGTTTCTTTTTTGTCATTATATTGATTTTCTTCCTCATTATCAATTTCTTCGCAGATTTGTTCTAATTCTTTAAATGTCGTCTTTTCAATAAAAATTCCAGGATATCCACTGAAAATGGTTTTGAACATGAGACATTACAGAAAACAATAACTGAATAAGATTACTTATTTTCGATGATAAGAGTTAATTTCAATTTTCTCAACATGTTCCTAAACAACTAATTAGTATACTGTAGAAACTTTGTTACATTTTTCGTGGTCATTATTGAATTATTTAAATAAAACCGATTCTCAAAATCATCCCTTCAGAATGGACAGTGTATGATGATTTTAAAGATTGCATTTTCGCTCTTGCTGAACAAATATGCACCGTAAAAACGTCTGAAAGGTCTCAAATGAATCCTTTAAAATTTCTCAATAATACTGCAATATAAGTTCCACGACCATACATTGCCGGTCACTCCCTTTAATGCATATTTAAAACAATTACCATCTCCTCCTTATCCGAATCGAAGAATTTGAGCTTGTCTCGCTATATTTGCCCGGCTTGAACCATGGATCAAAGAATTTTCTGAAAAAAAACTTTAAAGGGGCTGCTGACGGAATTTAAAAAAAGAAACCTTTAAAGGGACTGCTGACTAAATTTTAAAAAAACCTTTAAAGGGGCTGCTGACTGAATTTTAAAAAAAAAAACTTTAAAGGGGCTGCTGACTGAATTAAAAAAAAACTTTAAAGGGGCTGCTGACTGAATTTACAAATTACATGACCGAGCAACAAAATACCTTTTCAAACCTTTGTATAACCCAAAATGTAAAGTCATAGTTTGTCTACCTCTTTTAAAAGTAAATTGCGGATTCACGCAGCATTGGAGTTACTGGAGAGAAGTTATGAAGACAGAAAAACGACGACATTTGTATCATTGTGTCTCATACAAGGTGTCCCACAAAACATGACAGTTGGTGAATAATTTAAAATGTCTTCTTCCATAATTACTTTATTACCAAAGAATGTTATTATAAGAATATTTCATGGTAATCATATTATATAGTAAAATTGATTTCAAAGTAAAATATATTTTATTGAACGAAAAAAATGCAAAAAATGCAAAAAAGACATTCCAATATATTTACCAACTCTCATTTTTCGTGGGACATCCTGTAGTTTAAAGGGTACCTTTATGAAATTCTGTAAAAGTATGGTTACTTGAAATTACATCGACATTCCCTTTGAGAAAATATATAAAGCAGACCAGAGGTAAACATCATCTCAAGGGATTTATTTCTCTTTGAATAGAGGCATGTCGGATTAGCGAAAGTATCCTTTAATTCTTCGTACGAGCTAAGTTGAGATATTCTTGTTTTTACATCCAAAAATTGATAATTTCAAATTGTGATTTCCGTCCATATAAGTGTTTTGCGGATTTATAACCAACAGGAAACAATACATATATAGTACAAGAAACAATACATATATAGTACAAGAAAAAATACATATAGTACAAGAAACAATACATATATAGTACAAGAAACAATACATATATAGTACAAGAAACAATACATATAGTACAAGAAACAATACATATATAGTACAAGAAACAATACATATAGTACAAGAAACAATACATATAGTACAGGAAACAATACATATAGTACAAGAAACAATACATATACAGTACATAAACTCTTTAAAAATTTCAAGGAAATTTCAAGGAAAATAATTACCAAGAAGACATTTGGTTAAGGAGTCTTGAAGCTGGGAAATACTTTCTACAAACGCCTGAAGTAAGAAAATAGATTTTTTGATATCATTCATTTATAAATTTCTGTTTTTTTGGATTGCAACAATTTTCATCAAATTCAACTAAAATTTATATTTACAGATCCACGTTGTTCTTCGGGATAATTATGTGAATCAGGTTTTAATTTCTATTTGCTCGAATTTCTATGAGAATAAATATTACGCTTTTAAATTGGAAATGTTTTTTGATCACCCCCGACTAACCAGAGTTAGAGGCATTCGGTTTCTTCAATTTAAAAATCATACTCGTTTTGGTTTATATTTTGACAATCTTTAAAGTTACGGATTTGTTTGTTAAATACTTTTTATTCAAAACATATATTCAAAAAAGTAGTTAAGAAAGAAGGCTGAAAAATTATGTTTAATAGGAGTAATTGTGATCGAAAGTCATAGTTTTCTGGAATATTGACAGAACCATTAAATTCACGTGGATAGCTTACTTTATAGCTAGCCTTCCTAGATCTGGGTCTCAACCTTAACACGTTAAATTATCTTAAATTTAAAAAAAATTCTTTAGCAAGAATAATTTGAATCGGGTTATTATAAAAAGACAATTATATAATAAGATTAACTCTTACCTCTTTATTTTGCTACAAATGCATTGATAAAAAGTTGAACTTTACAAACGTGGAAAAGTTTACTTTAAATAGGTTTTGAAATATAAAACATTTTGGTTCTTCTCCATAGCTCTATAATATGGAGGAGTTATAATTATAAACTCAGGTTTCTTTATAACGTATAATTTACTTTAGCTTGACCTGACAAACTACTTTCAATATAATTCCTTATATTATGTGAATCCTTGCAGTTCTGAAAAATCTTAAATACTTTTCTGCACGCAAAACTAAGAGTTAAACGTTTGATTAAGATTTTAAAAAAATAAAATTGTAAAAATGGAACTTTTTTTTAACTCCTAGGTTTTCCTACATAGATCCAGACTGCTATGTAAAGTTGGCTTTTTTACGACTGAGTTGACTTAGAAGTGTGGCAACGCTTTGTAATTCGATTTTGCCTCGTTAACTCACTTACTTTTTTGGGAGCCCTATCCATGTAAAATATTATACCTTTAAAGCTTAAAGTAGTAGCTGGCAAAATTCTCATCGGTTTTAGCGTAAGAGCTTGCAGCCATTACTGTTAAAATTAATCGTTTTGGATCGTTTTTCAAAAACTTTTTATAAAAAATTCTAATATCTATAATTTTTAGTTTTTGGTTAGTTTTTTGCTGATATTTTCTCAAAGGGTTAAAATTGGCAATGTGGAAAGAAATTAATTGTCTAGAATTAACACATTTGCTTTTTTTACACTATGTCCTGTTTGACCCTGAGAGAAAATATATGCAAAATAACGAAACAAAACGAACCAAGACAAACCAAAAACAAAACCAAAACGAACCAAAAACGAACCAAAAACGAACCAAAACGAACCAAAATGAAACAAAAATGAACCAAAACGAACCAAAACGAACCAAAACGAACCAAAAACGAACCAAAAACGAACCAAAACGAACCAAAATGAAACAAAACGAACCAAAAACGAACCAAAAAAAACCATAAACGAACCAAAACAAACCATAAATGAACCAAAACGAACCAAAACGAACCAAAACGAACCAAAAACGAACCAAAAACGAACCAAAACGAACCTAAATCGAACAAAAACAAACCAAAACGAACCAAAGCGAACCAAAACAAACCAAAACGAACCAATAACGAACCAAAAAGATTATTAACACTAACTAAACTGTTCACCTGTTTTCTCGTTGTTGCAGGGTAAAACGTTTACTGGACCGCAGTGCATGGTTAACTACAAATCTAGAAAAATCTGTTTTTTAAGCTATGTTTTATATTTATGTTAAACATTAACAAACTTTTCTAAGAATTTAACCCAATTTTTTAATTTTTTTAATTACTTTACTTATTTGAAAATCAAAGAAAATTACCTGAGCAAAGGAACCCTTTTCACATTTCTAGCAGCTATCCCGGCATCCTCGCACAAACCTTAAAAAGGCACAATTTCAAGTAACCCTCCATTGATAGATTTCTCAATTATTTCTGAACATAAATGCGCATTGCGCAAGTAATTTTACAGAGAACCCATTGTGAAAAATAGAAGATATAGAATATTTCATGAATTTGATACAGTCACCACGTTGTGAATCAGACCTGTAACTCTTACGTCTGCGATCACTTGTGCTGGGGCTGATGTGTGGTTATTACATATTTACATTTTTATAAGAGATTTGTTAAATATGTAAGTTTTAGAGAACCGTACATGTTTTCTGTAAGTTATCGTTTACTATTAATTTAATGGTCTTCCTATGTAATAGAAATATATATTATTAGCTAGTATCTTTTTTATCTAACCTAAAAGTTTAGAAAGGGCTTCCACCCGGCTTATTTGCTCTTTTAACGTTTCTCTCTTTTCATTCTAAAAAATAAGTTTTTAACAGAGGGTTATTTTTCAAAATGTTGCCAAGTATTCCACATGGTTATTGCAGTTGTGATTCTGCATATTGCCAAGTGTTCAGCATGGCTATTGCGGTTGTGATTCCGCATATTGCCAAGTAATCCGCATGGTTATTGCAGTTGTGATCCCGCTTATTGTCAAGTATTCCGCATGGTTATTGCAGTTGTGATTCCGCTTATTGTCAAGTATTTCGCATGGATATTGCAGTTGTGATTCTGCATATTGCCAAGTATTCCGCATGGTTATTGCAGTTGTGTTTCGGTATGTTGCCCAAGTGTTCCGCATGGTAATTGCAGTTGTGTTTCCGTGTGTTTCCCAGTGTTCCACATGGTTATTAAGGTTGTTAGTAGACATATTTTATGTTTAAATCTATTTTTTAAGTCTGTCAACCCCCCCCCCGTTTTAAAAAAAAAGCTTCTTTTCAAAACTAAATCTTACAGTGAAGACCTAACTTTTCAATCTGGCATTGATAATTTTGATAATACATGTGGTGTCTAAATAAATATGAATAATTTGATGTTTAAGTAAGAAAAAATATTTTGATAAACACGGGTATTTTTGTATGTTTTGAACATGGTTATTTGATATGCAGGACGTCCAAATAAAAATGGATATTTCGGGATACAGAGTCAGAGTGTCCAAATAAATATGAAAATTCGAGATAAAGGGTGTCCAAATAAGCATGGATATTTCGGGATACAGGGTGTCTAAATAAAAATGGATATTTCGGGAAACAGTGTGTCCAAATGAACATGGATATTTCGGAGGGTTTCCAAATAAACATGGATATTTCGGGATACAGAATGTCCAAAAAAACAAGAATATTTTTGTATTTGAACTGGACATTTAATTTGTAACCTTAAATAAACTGGGGTCTCCAAAGCCGTTTTCATACATCTGTGTCGGTATCAACATTCTGAAATGTAAAATTTTTTTTTAAATTTAAAATCAAATTGAGCACTTACTGCTATAGGTTATACTTTCTTGACCCCCCACCCCCTTCTCAACAAGAACTGTTTTTTCAACATGTTGAAATAGATTTCTTTATAATAAGAAATTAATTCCTATCTCTTCCAAGAGAAAACGATAAAAAAATGGTTTTTTTCAAAATTCTTGATAAATTACCCCTTTTTACCCCTGTTCTACAGGATCAAGATGAAAACTCTGATCAGTCCCTTTCCAAACTGCATCCACATGTAAACAAAAGATTAATTAATTAAGTAATTAGATTAATTAAATTCAGAAATGTTTTCCTTGTATTTTATTGCTTCTAAAACAGCTGTTGTAGAAAGAACTATAAAAGTGTGGAATAGCAAATATTTTAATATTAATTTATTATGTGAAAGTGATGTGTTTCTTGTTCAATGAGCTATTCAAAATCATAACTTATGTAGAGCAATCAAGTAATCCGTTTCCAAAGTAAAGATTAAATTTTAATTACAACCTTTATCAGCCTTTAACTTATTTTAAAAGTTTTTCATGGTTAATTTTTTTTTGGCGAACCCCCTCTTAAAAGATTGAAAATTACCACCGCAACCATGAGTAGAATATTTACCACACTCGGACAGAACAAGTCCTGAATAAGAAAGTTTTAAAACATTGCAGATTGTCATCGTAAAAGATCATAATTGCTTCTAATTCTGAAATTCTTGATCAATTTGGTCTTTAAACCATGTCTGTATATTGCCATCTTATTCTGAATTATACTTTAGCATTAAAAACACCTCTCAGTCTTATGATGAATGACATAAAAACTTCTGTAATAGTAATAGGAACAAAAATACACAAAAACGTCACACTAAATACTTTTTTTTGAAAATCATAAAAAAGGATAAGTGGAGAATAACTCCCATAACATTTTTTTTAAATGTTTGATTTATTATTTTATTATTATTTATTATTTTTATTGATTTATTAATAAATGAAATAAACCTTGAGTAAATGTTATAAGATTAAGTAACGCTAGAACTATCTGCCATTTTTTCATACTTCTAAATTTATAACTCTTCAATCTTCAACATTAAATCAATAACACTAAATTGCATAAGCATAAGCATAAGCTACATTGCTTTTAATCAACTCCTTTTATTAAAAAGCTTTGAGAAAAATGTGTTTAGCTTCTAATTGTAGAAAACTGGATAAAAGATCTGTATTTTTGCCACAAAATGAAATGATCTCATCTCTAGCTGTATGCCACCTGATATATGGATTATAAAACTAGAGTTTGTAGCAAAAACTCAGTTTCTTTGCTGTGCTTATGCTAATGTGTAATGCACGAGTAAAATGAAAACACGAGAAGCTACGACATCACAAAGTTGGACCAGTAGTCTATATAATAAAACAAGACATATATATATATGTTGCCTTTAGCCGGCCAAACGACTGGACCGATTGAGCTGAAATTTTTTGTGGACTCTCCTGGGTGTTATAGACTACGAAAAAATCGCTATATTTTTTTCAATTTTTTTTCCACGGGCAACGCCGGGCCTTCCAGCTAGTATCACATAAATTTGAATGTATAGTTTTCAGTTTGGTGAAAACTATGAATTACTTTATCTTTCGGCATAAATACAATTATCGAAATTATTGCTTTCATTCAAAAGTTTGAGTTCAACTATCTCTCTCATTATAATTCAAATGGAAGATGTTTCTACAGTGATAACCAGAAAACTATGGAATAGAAAGAAGATTTGTAGACTCAAGTTATGACTTTAAATAGTCTAATGAAGTCAAGGCACATCAATTTTGTAGTGTTGATACCCATTTCACTTGGTTAGTGATATAGTAACTTAATAGTAAAGTAAGGCTATTAGTGTTACTTTTAATGTCGTCTTCCTATTCTACAGTTTTTTAGTTATTACCGTAAAGGAATTGAGTTTTTGCCACAAACTCTGATTTTCTAATTCCTATAACTTTGCAACCCGTTTTCCTAGACCTTTGATATTTCAAACTATTAATTCTGTTAGATCAAATAGTCTAAGTTTGAAATATCAAAGGTTTACATCATCAGGTTACAAAGATATAGAATTAGAAAATGTGAGTTTGTGGCAAAAACTCAGTTCCTTTGAACCAGATCTTCACGTGAGTAGGGTTAACTGTAAACTGAAGACTATTCAACCAAATTTATCTATTTTAAACCTCTTTCTGTTTCCTAAATAGAATGGTTTCAGGTTTAAGATGAATACAAATCCATTTTCTCGGATAAAAAACATTAAGATAAAAATAGAAGTGAAATGTAAAGGGAGTGTAAGCGTAATTTCAAGTGTTTCTCAGTGCTAGTAGACAAACAAAACGTGCAATAATTTTCTTATAAATAATTTAAATGATATTTAGTTTTAATTTTCGTTTCTTGGGTTATATTTCACTTCTGTAATACTATAGATTCAATCTTTTATATTTCTTTTATAAACCTTTTAAGGACATTTATCAAGAAAAGAAAAAGATAAGAAAGAGCATTTGTGGAATTTAAATCAATTTAATCATAGGAAAAAATAGTTAAGGAGAAAAACGTAGAAAAGAAACATTGAAGAATCGTCGTATGATTAAAAAAGGAGAATGCAAGGATGGATAAAAGGTTGAAGAAAAAAATGAATGACTGAATAAAAGAATATAGAATGAATGGATGAATAAAAGAATATAGAATGTAAGGATGAATGAAATAATATAGAATGTAAGGATGAATAAAGGAATATAAAATTTATGGATAAATAAAAGAATATAGAATGTAAGGATGAATGAAATAATATAGAATGTAAGGATGAATAAAGGAATATAGAATGTATGGATGAATAAAAGAATATAGAATGAAAGGATGAATAAAAGAATATAGAATGTATGGAATGAATAAAATAATCAAGTATAAAACATTAATAAAATGAAAGAAGGAAAGGACAACTAAAAGAATTAAGAATTGAAAAAAGAATAAATAGAATAGACTTAAGGGGTAATTTTTTTAAATGGATTAATGCAAAGAATAATGATTAGATAAAAAGTTAGAATTGAAGAATAATTGAAAAGAAAACTGAGGGTATAAATTTTAAAAAAAGAATAAAAAGATATTAGAATTGAAGAACAACATCAAAAAAGATTGAAATGATGATTTAAAGAAGAATAAATGAATAAAAAGAATAAGAAATAAATAAACATAAAGATAATAGATTAAAGAACAATTAAAAATTAGAATAATAAATATAAAAATGTGGAAGACGATACCTAGCCGCCTAAAACAACTTCCACAAGAATGAGATAGAACGGATACGGGGCATTGTACTTTGAATCTACACGTGTGATCTTGATATTTACTCATGTTCTGAACCCTCTAGTAATAAGTTATAAAAAATATATATACTGGAAGTTACTTTAAGCGTTTCATTAGAGATAGACCTAGCGTCCTCAATAAAGCATAAAAATGAATAACAAAGATAATAGAATTGAAGAATAATAAAAAACTGAAAATATTATTTAAAGAAAAATGTGTGAATAAACTTTAAAAAGCACGAATAAATAACAAAGATAATAGAATTAGAGATAAATAATAAAGAAGAATAAAACGATGAATTTAAAGAAAAATTAATGAATAAAAAGAATAAAGAAAGAAAAAAAGATAATTTAACTGAAGGATAGGATAAAAAAATTAATGAATAAAAATAATAAAAATGGATTTATAAAAAGAATAAGAAAAAGTTCAGGATTAATGAATGTAAGTCTAAATCCGGAAGTAAAGAGGTAAAATATGAAAAGCTTAAAATCTGTAAAGAGTATTTTTGTAGAAAATATTAATTCCTTGATTTAAAACTATCATTTATCGTGATTCTATTCTATTGATTTTTTTTATTTTCTTTGCTTTTATTCTTTAACAATGTAATAGTTACTGGCTGTTTGTATTTGTACAACTGTCTATGTGTCTGTCAGTCTGTTTTTTTACCTAATGGGTGTTTTAAAAAGAACCAAACCATTCAAACTTTTTTCTTTCAGAGAGGCTTCATTTTCACCTGATCATAATGAAATGAAATCAATATCACGATGTCTTTTTGGGTTTGGTCAACCTAGCTCTGAATATATGCTTTTTTATTTAAACACCCTTTAGATGTGTTTATTGTACTTGAATATCTAGTTGTCTATCTACTTGTCTATCTACTTGTCTATCTACTTGTCTATCTACTTGTCTATCTAGTTGTCTATCTTCTTGTCTATCTACTTGTCTATCTACTTGTCTATCTTGTCTATCTACTTGTCTATCTACTTGTCTATCTACTTGTCTACAGTGGAACCCTTAATAACGAATACATCGAAAGAATTTTTGAAATGTCGTCTTGACAATTTTTCAATGAGTTTTATACTATATTTCGTAAATATCAGTATTTGCAAAAATAAATAAATAGCCATGAATATGCGGGAACAGTTTTAAAGAGTTCCGTATAATCATTTAATTAAAAAACTAAATATCTGCAATATTCCATTGTCAAAAAGTGAAGAATACGACATTTGATGAATTCTTTCGATGTATTCGTTATTAAGGGGTTCACTGTATCTACTTTTCTATCTACTTGTCTATTTACTTTTCTGAATGGTTAATCTATCTGTCTGTATATCTATCCTGCCTCTGTATAGTGGTAGGTATGACAGGTTAATAACTCTCCTTCCAAAATAATTCTATCAAATTTTAGGTAAAAACCAACATTATGGTAGTTTTGGTGTCTTTATTAATATCAGATTCTGGGGTTTTTATCCCCTATCTACCTTCCTACCTTCCTAACTTCCTGCCTTCCTACCTTCCTACCTTCCTCCTTTCCTACCTTCCTACCTTCCTACCTTCCTACCTTCCTGCCTTCCTCCTTTCCTCCTTTCCTACCTTCCTACCTTCCTACCTTCCTACCTTCCTCCTTTCCTACCTTCCTACCTTCCTACCTTCCTACCTTCCTACCTTCCTACCTTCCTACCTTCCTACCTTCCTACCTTCCCACCTTCCTACCTTCCTACCTTTCTACCTTCCTCCTTTCCTACCTTACTACCTTCCTACCTTCCTCCTTTCCTACCTTCCTACCTTCCTACCTTCCTACCTTCCTACTTTCCTACCTTCCTACCTTCCTCCTTTCCTACCTTCCTACCTTCCTAGCTTCCTACCTTCCTACCTTCCTACCTTCCTACCTTCCTACCTTCCTCCTTTCCTACCTTCCTACCTTCCTACCTTCCTACCTTCCTCCCTTCCTACCTTCCTACCTTCCTACCTTCCTACCTTCCTACCTTCCTACCTTTCTACCTTCCTACCTTCCTACCTTCCTACCTTCCTACCTTCCTATCTTCCTACCTTCCTACCTTCCTACCTTCCTACCTTTCTACCTTCCTACCTTTATACGGCCCCCGTGTAACTTGCTGTAACTTGTGGTACTTTATATGGCCCCTGTATAACTTTGTGGCACTCAAGGCACTTTATATGGCCCCCGTGTAACTCTGTGGCACTTTTGGCACTTCTGTCATGTTATACTCTTCCTTAGCTGTATTACATAGGGTGCTAGGTACTTTCAAAAAAGGCATTTTCTCAAGGGCGACTTTCAAGCCGAGCGCTGCGGCTAGGATGGACTAGGGGGCCGAGTGGCGGGGCTAGAACAGACTGGGGAAAAGCAGTACGGCTAGGACAGACTTGGGAAGTTGCCGTTTGGGAAATTGCACATTCGGGAAGTTGCCATTTGGAAAATTATTTTACAGTACAGTGAAATTCAATGAAAAAATCAGCAGGATCAAAGAATTTTATTAAATCCAATATTCTATAATATTTGACCCTTTCAACCCTTTCTCGCAAAAAGTTGTAAATATAATGAAATTTAACGGGGACAGGTGAACACACAGATTTAATGTCGTCGTCTGATAGAAAAAATTTAAAATATTTCATTGATTCACAGAAATCAATATTTTTAAAATAAATTTTAAATTATTTGACCCCAACATATATATACACAGGGATTAATATAAAAACCATGAAAAGTATTA